CTACAAAGTGAGCTCAAGGCCAGCCTGAACTGCATAGCAAGACTCTGTCTCAAAAAAAAGAACGCCCCTCAAAAAAAGAGATGGAAATAGAAGGGCAACTATTAAGAAGGGAATAAGGGATGAGGGGAACTGCCTAGTGAGTCAAAAAGACCAAAAAACAAAAAACAAAAACAAACTAAAAATAAAACAGCTCCAGTGAGTGGGTGACAGTCCCTTTCTTACTGTCCCCTCATGATGAAGATTCCTCCCTGTCCCCTTAGTCGAGGCTGCGCCTAGCTTCCCCTGTGTCCTGTTACCCAGATTTGTTGTGAATCTCTCAATCACCACACACAGCCTGGCCTTTAAACTGGTGTAGGCTTTGATCTGTCACCCATCCAACCTCCCATGCCCACTCCAAAAGAAAAAGAACACACCATCTTCAAGTTTCAAAATAAAACACGCAAGTCATTTTGTCTCTGAAAACAAGAAAATATTTACAACTGAAATGACCAAATTCATAAATCTAATAATTTTTTCTTTTTAAAAACTTATTTCAATTAATTTTACTGGTGCACTTTTTATGTACATAAAGATCACATTCATATAGGGAATTTGGATCTGTACATAACATACCTTAATTCTTTTTTTCCCATTCCACTCCCTCCAACTCTTCTCACCATTTACAAAACTTTTGTTTCCATTTTTTCCTTTCTTCCCTTCCTCCTCCCTCCTCCCTTGTTCCCCTTCCCATTTGAATGTTTTCTTCCTGCTTTCCAATATCTGTGTAAGATCTAGTAATTCTAATCACTGATGAAATCTTCAAACAAAAGACTGAAGACAGAGAAAAGCACCAAAAAGGTTGACACAAAAACAAAAACATGTGGTAGTAGTAACAGTAAATACCTGTAAATAAGAATAAGGCCCTGTCTTGTGGTCTGCCTTTTATAGGAATCATCTCCTGCAATTCTCACAAAATACCCATTTTACAGGTGAGGAAGTAGAGGCTGAGAAAGGCTGGTGAAGGTACTCAAGGCAATACCATTGGGAATCACTCAGCTCTCTGCTCAAAACCACTCTGGATCAAATTGCCCTTCAGGGTTAAAAGCCAAGATTTGGGAGTTCACATGGGCCTATGTTTTTATGTCTCTGTGACCTTGAATCTCTTTCCTGGCTCTCCAGGTTGTTGTAAGGCTTAACTCTAGCAGTAAAGTCAAACACTTCAGCAAGGGCAGCAGCTCACACGCTGAAAAAGGGGGCTTCGTTTGCTCCAGCAAGGCCCCAAATTTGGCAACTATTCCAGCTTTAAGGTCCTGGTTCTTAGGTCCTGGTTCTCATTCAAAAACAGACTAAGAATGCAGAAGAAGGCCTGAGAGCCCTGTTGTCCAGCTCTGGAGCAGATGAATGAGACTGGGCTGTTGGAGGTGCGCTGTAATATAACAGACACACTGGACTTGGGAGAATTATAACCAAACAGGGTGCAAATATCTCATTTATATTTTTAGATTGCTGGTTGAAATGTTACTATTTTTCTTTTTTAAAAAATTAATTAGGAGGGCTGGGGATATAGCTCAGGGCATAAGTGCCTGCCTGGCAAGTGCAAGGTCCTGAGTTCGATTCTGGTACCAAAAAAAAAAATATGAATTAGGTTTTTGGTGCACGTCTTTGTTGGTAAACAAAGTGCCTATAATCCCAGCACTTGGGAAGCTGAGGCAGGAGGATCGTTGCGAGTTCGAGACCAGCCTAGACTACAAAGTGAATTCAAGACCAGGGTGAGGGGCTGGGGATTTAGCTCAGCGGCAAAAGCGCCTGCCTGGTAAGCGCAAGGTTGTAGTTCGGTTCCCGGTACCGAAGAAAAACCAAAAAAGACAGTGTGAACAGCATAGTGAGACCCTGTCTCAAAAAAACCAAACCAAAAAAAAAAATTGAATTAGGTTTATTGGTACATTTTAGGTACATATAACGATCACATTCATCACAGGGACTTTATACCTGTACATGAAATATCTTGATTTTTAAATGTTACTATTTTTTATGTCAGGCTAGGTGAACATTATTAAAATTCACTTCGAGAAAAAAATTCACTTCAGATTTTAGAAAATTCCTTAAATGTGGCTGTTAGAAAATATTAAATTACCTCTGTGGCTCCCCCTCCCGCTTCCTGGGAATTGAACTCGGAGCCTTCTCACCCAGGTATTTCCCCAGCCCTTTTTTAAACTGGGAGACAGGCTTCGGTAAATCGCCCAAACTGGGTTTAAACTTGTCATCCTCCTGCCTCAGCTTCCCAGGGTGCTGGGATTACAACACTGAGCTTCACATCTTATTTCTGTTGGACAGCGCTGCCCTCCACTCGGCGGCGTGGGTGGGGTGTGGCCTGCCCTCTGTCCACAGGCGGCTTCCCAAAGGTCGGGCTGGCACTGTCACCCTGCACGGGTGGAGGCCAGGAGCTCCGGGAGGCCCTGCTTCTCTCCAAAGCGATGCTCTGCAGGGCGTACGACGGGGACTCCGCGAGGACCGCGCTCTGGTGAGAGTGACCTGGAGAGACGCCCGCCCTCCGCAGCCCTGGCCACCTGCAAGCCTGCTTTCCCCTGGGTCCTCTGGCGGAGCAGGGATGGGACAGAGAGGGGCGCTCGCGGCAAGGACGTCTCCGGGCCGGGAAAGCCACGTGGCCTGTCCAGGGTCACCCTGCCGGGCGCTCTCGGCGCCAGGTCATCCCCGGAGCACAGTCGGCCGGGGCGGGCAGCGCCTCCTCTTCCTCTTCCTGGGTGGGACAGAATTTGGTGGCCTTCGCCCAGCGAGACATGGGGAGGGGCCGGACGTGTGCCCCGCCCTCCGGGTCTCAGCGACAGTGTTCCGGTCCAATTCCAGACCGGGGCGCCTCTCCAGGGCGTCTGGGGGAGCCTGGTGTTTCCCGGCAGGGAGGGGTCACCTGTGGCACCTGCTGGGAAGACCCTGTAAGCAGCGAAGCGACGGGCACGGTCCTTCACAGCCTCCGACGCGCCTTATCCTGAGCACAGGGTGCACAAACTTTTTTTTAATTTTTATTTTTGGTTTTTTGGAGACAGGATTTCATTATGTAGCCCGGGCTGGCCTCGAACACGTGGTTATCCTCCGCCTCTGCCTCCCCAGTGCTGGGATGCCATCTGGCCTACCTGGTGGACATTACCTCTAAACACTTGTGTACCGGGTACTGGGCAATCTGGGCTAGCTACATAATTTGTGTGGCCTAGTGAAAAATGAAAATGTGGTACCTCACATTCAGAAAATTTTGAAGCAGGAGGATCAAAAGTTCAAAGCCAACCTGGGCTACATAGTGACACCGTGTCACAAAAAAACCCAAAAATAACCTGGGGCCTGGTGGCACATGCCTGTAATCCCAGCACTTAGGAGGCTGAGGCAGGAGGATCACCACAAGTTCGAGGCCAGCTTTGAGGCCAGCCTGGGCTACATAGTGGGTTCAAAGCCAGCCTGCACTACACAGCAAGACTGTATCAAGAAACCAAAAAAAAAAAAAAAACCTTTTGTACTGCCAGAGATGGGGCCCAAGGCTTCCTGAATGCTAAGTGACTCCACCCCAGCTCCTGAAAAATTACTGAGAATTTCAAAAAGGCCCAGGATATAGTTACCACCCCTCAGCTAGACCACACTGTGGCAAATCTGCTCCCTGCTCCTGAATGTAAGTGCATAAACACAGGGCTCCGTCTATTCGCCCCACTTGTGCCTCCAAAGCAGTGCCTGGCACACGGCTGGCATTAAGGACTTACTGAAATCAAGTGACCCCATGTCCATCTTGCCCCTGGACGAGTTCCCTGAGTATGACATCATCTGTGACCCACCTGTGTGACCTTGAGGTAAATGCCCAATAAATGCTGTTGCCATAATCAAAAAGGAACAGCAGAGCCCCAGAAGCAGAACCAACAGCTAATGATGTTAAACATGGAAATATTTTAAAATATGTTTATTCTTACATTGAATGCTTCAAGAAAGAAAGAAATTACATTGATTTCAAAATTCATTCATATTGAACCAAGGAATTAAATTTATGGCCTTTACAGTTATACCTAATCAATATGTAGGAATATAGGTAGACAGCCAGTTCACGAATGAAATGAGTAAAATAACTATATAATTTTTTTTTTTGGTACCGGGAATCGAACTCAGGACCTTGCGCTTGCCAGGCAGGTGCTTATGCTGCTGAACTATACCCCGGCGCAAAAATAACTATGCTAATGTATAAATCTCGGGGATGGGTATCATGCATGATCAGTAAGCCACTGTAGTTTCAGTAACATGGTTCACATTCATTTCCATCACATACACATCCACTTCAAATGCTGACAACCTAAGACTATAATCTTTGTCCCCTTAAAAGAAAGTTCAGTTTAAAAATATGAAGAAATTCAAGAAGAAAATTTCAGGACTCTTGATCAGAAGCCTTCAGTGCACATGGTACTACTTTGGTGTCAACAATGGTTCAAGGAAGGGTAAGAAAGAAGAGCGCTTTCTTTACCGACTGAGGACATGATCTAAGAGATGGGACTAGGCTTTCTGTAGAACTCCGCTAGCTGTGGAGGTGCCCCAGTAAGGAAGGTCTCTTGAGGTTAGCAACTGATCACCTTTTGAAAGCCTTAGCCAGTGCTACAAAAACAGAACATTCAGAGTACTATTTCTAAGTACAAGCATAATTGCGCTTTTGCCGTCTATAAATAATCATCTTTGAAATGCCTAAGGGCTTCTGGTTGTGGCTCTTTTCTGGCTGGAGGAGCTGTAGGTGCACATGGGTATCTACTGATGGACCTTCTCGAAGTACTCTTTGGAAGCCGTTGGACTTGGCTTGATCTGAAAATACAAAAACATTTAATTGGGCAACAACTTTGCAAAAATGGTTTCAAATCTGACCTAAAAAGTTTCTGATTTTTAATCTAAAGCTTTTTCCAAGATTGGTCTGTTTCCTTCAAAACACGTGGATGAAAGTTAATGTTTACTTATTTATTAGTACTGGGAATTGAACTCAGGACCTCGCAATTGCCATGCAGGCGCCTGTGCCACTGACCTATATCCCTGGCCCTGATGGAAGCAGATGAAAACAGCCTCCCTGGTCTCCAGCTCTCTAACTCCCACCCCCCAAGCCCCATGGCTGCTCCCATCTGCACACAATCTTGAGGCAGAGGACCTGGGACTCTGAGATCCCACTGCTTTGGGAAGAAGAACCTACTGTAGGGGAATCTGGTGTCCAGTTCGCTGGGCAGACTTCTCCGTGCGTTTCCACAAACTGGAATGCCTTCACCAAGCGGAGGGTCTCTTCCACGCTTCGGCCCACTGGGAGATCATTGACGCTCAGATGCTTGATGACTCCATTGGGGTCGATTATGAAGAGACCTCTGCGTCAGAATTTATTCACATGAGTACCTACTAGTACCAGAATTCACTGTCCAAGCTCTACTCTTTTGTCTTTCATTTTCCTTTTAATATAACATTTATTAAGTTTTGTCCTATGCTTAACATTGAGGTTTCCATTGTTGTACGAAAAGCCTCTCATCCCTTATTAATGACAGATGCCTTCATAACGGCAGCACTGGAGCGGGCCACCATGGAAAACAGAGTGTGGTCCCCTCTGTAATTCACAGTTGTGCCCTGAGTGAGTGTCACATACAGTATCGGAAAGTCATAGAACTGGAGAGTGTAATGGCATCTTTATTGGTGACTTAGCAAGCATCCTTTAGGCTGCTGCATCAAATCCTGGTAAGAAACTGTAGGCAAACGGGAAGGGACAGAAATATATTTTCTCTATATGTATGTATGTATTTGTCTTTTGAGACAGGTTCTCCCTATGGAGTTCAGGCTGGCCTTGAGCTCACTTTGTAGCCCAGGCTGGTCTAGAACTCGCAACAATCCTCTCGCCTCAGCCTCCCAAGTGCTGGGATTATAGGCGTGCACCACCTCACCTGACATCCAATATTTATTAAATAGATGGACCCTTGGGTAAATGAGGGGACGTTCCCTGGGAAACGATACGTGGGAAGAGTATGCTGGCCCCAAGTCCACATGGAGCAGACACCCATGCTCATCGCTGAGCAGCGATGCCAGGGGACGACTGCCCCACCATCTGTCTGCATCTTCTGTACTGCAGGGACCATGACCTGTGGGTCTTTTTTTGATCTTTGTGAGAAAGGGTTTCACTATGCAGTTCAGGCTGGCCTTGAACTCAGTAAGTCTCCTACCTCAGCCTCCTGCCTCAGCCTTCTGAGTGCTGGGATTACAGGCATGCGCCACCACACCCAGCTGACCCGGGGCTTTTTAACAGTCCATTTTAAAAGAATGTGAGAACTCTAAGTGTTAATCATCAGGGAACCAGGCATGGTGGCACACACCTGTAATCTCAGCATTCGGGAGGCTGAGGCAGGAGGATCATTGTGAGTCTGAGACCAGCCTGGGCTACAAAGTGAGCTCAAGGCCAGCTGAACTCCATACAGAGACCCTGTCTCAAAAAGACCAAAAAAAAAAAAAAAAGAAAAATCATGCAGGGAAAAAGCAAAGTTAAAGAACACGCAAAGTAGAAAAGGATTTTTCCCTTCCCCTGGGCCTGGCATCTGGGGTTCTAGCTCCTACTTTTTCTTTTCTTTCTGCAGTACATGACATTGAACTCAGGGTGCAATGAGCTATATCCGCAGCCCTCTCCTTGGGAAGGGATGGGACGCTTTTTTAAAGACAGAGTCTCACTAAGTTGCGCAGCCTGACCTCAAATGCTGCCTCATCCTCCCAAGCAGCTGGGCTTACATGCATGCAGCACCCCACCTGGTTGGAAGCCTGGGCTCTGAGGCAGAGCTGGGTCTGCTGTCTGCTCCTAGAAGGGAAGTCAGCTGGGCTCCAGCGGCAGAGGCAGAGCTGCGGGTGAGTAGAGCCCACAGGCTCCGGAGAGACTAACTCCTAGCCAGACCCAGACTCCCTCCCTGCTGACCCCTACACTGAAATGGCAGGAGTAACCGAATCAGTCAGACCCCAGCAGGAGGAAGGGCTGCCCGCTCCTTCTCCTGCCACTGCGAAGTCTGAGGAGGGAGGCGGGCCTTATTCAAGGAAGAGGGTCTCTCCTCAGGTCCACACAAGTCTGATGAGCTCCTGGGGCCGCCCAGCACCAAGACCCCCAGTGTCACTCAAGAGGGGGCAGAGGCCAGCTAGGAGAGAGCAGGAGAGCTGGGTTCAAGATGCCCCAGAGAGCTGTGGGCCCCTCAAGGTGGGGCCCTCTCTCCCTTCCCGAGCTCAAGTCCTGCTGCCCTATTTCTGTTCTCAGCCGACTTCAAGATGTTAGCTCTCTGGCCTCTTCCTGTCCCGAAGAGGAAGGCAGGGGGCTGAGAGCCTTTCACACTTGGAAGAGACTGCAACAGTTTATCCACAGAATGACCAAGGGTGGAAAGACATTCTGAGAGAGAGCATTAGCTGCACTGGCCGCAAGGAACTCTGCCAAGAACTCCAGCTGCTTCTCCTGTGCAGTCCTCACCACCAGCCTGGGAGGTACTCTTCACGTCATTTATGGGAAAACTGGGGCTCCGAGAGGCCAGCAACTGCCCAAAGTCACAGCCATTAAGTAGATGCCTTCAAAAGCCACCACCCCCCCAAAAAAAATTCACACCCAGGCTTGACTGATCTCAGGGCCTGTAGAAGACTGGCACCGCTCCAGGCATAGCCTCTTCCCTGGTAGAGCCTTGTCTAAGCAGTCTGATGAGGACAGGCTCTGGAGGAAGGGTCCCAGCTGGTTAGAGAGAACGGAGCAGCGTGACCATGAAGACACAGATACCCTCCTCCAGGAAGAGACCCAGATGGCGAGCACAGTACACGTGCTTAGCCCTCTCTTCCTCCCTCTCTTTTCTGTTTTGTCATACTGGAGATTGAATGCAGGGCATTCTCACCAAGCTACAGACCCAGCCCTTTTTTTATTTTTCATTTTGAGACACAGTCTTGCTAAAGTTGCCCAGGTGGGGCTCCAGCTTGGCATCCTCTTGCCTCAGCCTCCCAGAGTTACAGGCGTGCATCACCAAGCTGGGTTGACACTTCTGAAAATCTGCCAGCCCTTCAGGAGGATTTCATCAGAACTGATGCACACTAAAATTAAGAAGCTTTTTGTTTTAAAAGGTGTTTTACCAGTTGGGCATGGTGGCACACGCCTACAATCCCAGCGCTTAGGAGGCTGAGACAGGAGGATCACTGTCAGTTCGAGGCTGGCCTACATAGTGAGTTCAAGGCCAGTCTGAACTACACAGCAAGATTCTGCCTCGAAATAAAAAAAATAAATAAATTACCAAAACAAACAAATGAAATTAAAAATTTAAAAAGACCAAACAAATAGAAAAACAACACCAGCAACCAAAAATATGCTTTACCAAAACCATTATGTACTGAAGAAGTAGCGTAAGGAACAGACTCTTACCTGAGTGCAATGCCAGGACCTTCCAACAGCACACCGTAGTCCCGGGAAATTTCTTTAGTTAAATCCGACAAAAGCGCAATGTTCATGTGGCCCAAACCGCCGCTCTACAGAAATGCAAACATGACTAAGGAGCTGTGCTGGCTTCCCCATTTCTTGTTGCGGTGGTGGTGGTGCTAGGGATTGAACCCAGGACCTTGCACATGCTGGGCAAGCACTCTCTTACCGAGTTATACCCCAATCTCTTCCTCTTTTCTTTGTTCTTTTCTCAGTGTTATGGACTGGGCCCATGCATGCTAGAGAAACATTTTACCACTGATCTACATCCCAAGCCCCTTTGTAAAATTTTATTTGGAGACAGGGTTTTGCTAAATTGCCCGGGTCGGCTCTGAACTTGCCATCCTACTGCCTCAGCCTCCTGAGTAGCTGGGATAACCTGTGTGTGGCACCCCCAGCAATCTGGCAACATTCTCGACTATGTTACAATGTTTGAGACCAACCCTAAGGGTAACATAGTAACAGGAACTGAACCAAGTGATTTCTTTCTGTTAACTCATTTCCTCCCTGTAACCATTCTGGAGTAGATACTAATACCATAGCCATGCACATGAAAGTTAAGTCCCTTTCTTCAGGTCATAGCCAGAAAGGCACAGAGGCAGGATTTGAACCCAGCTGACACTACAGATCATTCTTTTGCTAATTCTTTTTTTGACACAGGGTCTCACTATGCAGTTCAGGCTGACCATGAACTCACTATGTAGCCCAGGTTGGCCTCAAACTTGTGATTCACGAATGCGAGGGAAGGTGCATGTCGGTATACCTTCCTTGGTGTATTGATCCAGGCGAGATGAGTAAAGTGGGAATCCACGGAAACTGCAACAACTTCACAGTTCACATCGTGAAACTCATTGGCTTTGTCACTGAAAGCAACAATTTCTGTAGGACACACAAAGGTGCTTAAAAAAAAAAAAAAGAAGTGGAGAGTTGGATCAGAAAATAGAAACAGGAACTTTTTTTTTTTTTTTTTTTTTTTGGTCTTTTTGAGACAGGGTCTCACTATGCAGTTCAGGCTGGCCTTAAGCTCCCTTTGGAGCCCAGGCTGGTCTTGAACTTGCATTGATCTGCCTGCCTCAGCCTCCCAAGTGCTGGGATTACAGGGGTATGCCACCACGCCTAGCCTAGAAACAGGAATTTAAAATTAGAACAATACATTTCCTAAGAACTCATCTTATAATCCTTACTTTTCTTGTTTCTGACCAGAAAGTGAAAACCTCAAAGTCAGCTTTGGGAACCACTGCTCCAATGCACAGGAGATAGAGCCATATTAAAACTCTACCTTACCTTAAAGGGTGCAAACGTAATCCAGTGCTAGGTGAGTAGGATTAGACAGGGTCAGCAGGGTGGAACAACCGTGACCCCTACTGGTGGCTTTGTAAGAGAGAAGTGATGCACTCTCTGTTCCTGGCCATGTGGTGCTCTGTGCCACCTCAGGACTCTGCCAGTAAGGTGGACGTCACTAGGTGACTCAACACGGGCCCCCAAAACAAGCCAAGATAAACCTCCTTTTGTTAAAAAAAAAAAAAGAAGAAAATTACCCTTGAAAAGGTACCCCCCAAGCTTCTGTTTGTGAGTCAGCTGCAAAGGGGTCAGAAAGAAGCCAGCCCTTAACAAGCAGAGGGACTTTCACTGCGGATCTGTGCTTGCTTTCAAAATGACGTGAAAGCACTGTAGAAATTACACTTACAAATCCAAAGGATAGAAGAAAAGCACCAAATATTTCCCCTTAAAGTCCTCAAGGCTTAGCTCTTTGAATTCTCCATTGACAACAGCTGTGCCCTTAAAAGAGGGTGCGTGCTGGGTGACGGCAGGAGCGTGGCTCAAGGAACCTGGAAAAAACCCGCACGGAGACATGGATCATCTTTCACAACGCCAAGCACCCATTAATTTTTCTTAAACTCATAAATTTATATAATTCACAATATCAAGTGTTTCCTGGCAGAAGTCAATGAAAAGATTCAATTCAACTATATATTTTAGGAACAGTAAGGTAGGAGGATTGCAAGTTCAACTCCAACTTGGGCAACTTCATGAATTAACAATACCTTGTCTCAAAATCTAGCTCAGTGCAAAGGTCCTAGGGTCAATCTCCAATATTGAAAAAAAAAGGCAAAACCCCCCCAAAAAAAGGAATAATAATTTTTCTTTCCATAATTCTAGATGTACAAATTTAATTCAAAATGCTATGGAGAAATTTCAAGAACAGAACAAAAAGAAAGCAAAACAAAAATAAAAGAAGTGCTAAAATAGTGGGGCATGATGGCACACCCCTATAATCTCAGCACTCAGGCGGCTGAGGCAGGAGGATCGCCATTAGTTTGAGGATAGACTGGGCTACACAGTGAGTTCGAGGCCAGCTTGAACTACACAGAGAGACTCTGCCTCAAAAAACAAAAACAAAGAAGAAGTGCTATGGAAACCAAAAAGAGGAAGACAAAGAGAGCAAAGATGGAGTTAGGATGGGATTAAGAAAGACAAAAGACTTGCAGATGTCTTTTAATTTTTTTTTAATTTTATTTTATTTTTTAATGTATTTCAGGCTGGCCTTGAACTCACTATGCAGCCCAGGCTGGCTTCAAAATCATGATGATCTTCCTGCCTCAGCCTCCAGAGTGCTAGGCATGCACCACCACCCCAGCTGGAGATGGATTTGAAAAGTTAGATTTTGTCAAGTCTACATGCGAGAGGGCAAAGGGAATAGAGGAATGGCAGGAAGAGTGGTGGGAGGAAGGCACACGGTTTGATTGTAACAGAGTCAAAGGGTATGAGGGAAGAGGGTGGGGCGCACACCAAGAGTGGCCCAAGGGAGGCCAAGTAGGCCCTTCAGTATCAGGCAGCTGAGCTGGGTCTTCAGGGAAGAGATTACAGGGAGTCAGGGGAGGTTTTTAGGGAGGTGACATAGAGGAGACAGCTGTCTTCAGGAAGATTAGTCTGGCAGGAGAATGAGACTCCTTCCGTGGTGATTTCCGTTATCTCAGTGAGAGGTGCTGAGGTATGGCAGAGAAAACAAGAAAAAAAGGCTAAAACTGGAGAGGAGGGCTGGGGGTGCAGCGCAGTGGGACAGGACAGGCCTGCGTGCATGAGGCCCTGAGTTCAATCTACACCAAAACAAATACACAAAACACCTGGAGAGGGCTTGCTTGCTTCTCCGTGGGATGAAGGACAAAGGGGACCCAGTGCCAAACTGTCTAGGACCATCATGCCAGATACAAGAGGTGCTCTTGCAGGTGGAAGCTTGGGACCAATGGAGGCAAGTCTGACGCCTATGGCACCCATTCATTACTGGAAATACTTATTAAATTATGCAATTTTATTTATTTATTTTTTTGGTCTTTTTGAGACAAGGTCTTGCTATGCAGTTCAGGCTGGCCTTGAGCTCCCTTTGTAGCCCAGGCTAGTCTCGAACTCACAACGATCCTCCTGCCTCAGCCTACTGAGTGCTGGCATTACAGGTGTGCGCCACCATGCCTGGCCTAAATTATGCAATTTTAAAAGAACATTTCACCAAGAAACCCCATTATATATTCTCCCAAACCATGGTGCATTAAATACTTGCTTTTGAAACATAAGGCAAATCTAAAGGAGATATTTAAGCACCACTGGTATCTGAAGCTGATTGCTCCTTTTTTTTTTTTTTTTTTAAGGCAAGTTCTCACTATGTAATTCAGGCTGACCTTGAACTTACTGTGGAGGCCAGGCTGGCCTCAAACTCCTGCTGATCCTCCTGCCTCAGCCTCCCGAGTGCTGGGATTACAAGCATGCGCTACTATGGCTGGCTATCTGAGGCCAATCTTGGCAAAGCTACCGCCCAGAGAGTGGAGCAGAAAACTCAAGAAACGGCTAATGATCACCAAGGATGCCCCTGGACTGTTCTGGGTCCCTAGAGACCAGCAGGAGCCAGGAGGCAGGATGGGTTCCCTGAAGGCAGCCCACCATTCACGCCCCTTCACACACTTGCAGGCCCCAAAGGCACGAGAGTTCATCCTCCACCCACAGCACCTGGACACAGAGGAGTAAAAGCTCTGGCAGCCAATGAAGAAATCTGACATAGTGCGTATGCCCTACTGATTCTCAACCTTGGCTGCACATTAGTATTACTCAGTGAGGTTTTGGCTTGATTTTTTCTTCATCAGTACACAATATGTTTGCAACACACAATAAATGTGTTCCTTGTGAGGAACTGGCATATACACATCTCACATCTTTATCTTTTTTAGTTCCCTTTCTTCTCCAATTCCTCTCATCTTTCCCCACCCCCAGATCTCTTTAAAAAATACTGAAGTCCTTGTCATATCCCAGAGACTGACCTTTATTTGGAGGTGAGACCGGGGTAGTGCTGTTTCCATTTATTTATTTTATCCAGTTGTCTTTTTATTCTTGAGCGGTTTTTGTTTTGTTTTGTTTTGTTTGTGGCACTGGGGACTGAGCACAGGGCCTTCACACTGGGCTACATATCCTCAGCCCTTTTTTATTTTAATTTTTGTTTTTGAGACAAGGTCTCACTAAGTTGCTCAGTTAGTCAAGCAGAGCTTGAATTCATGATCCTCCTGCCTCAGCCTCCCAGAGTACTGGGGTTATAGATGTGTACTGCCACAAGGCCTAGCTGAGTTGTAATTCTTTAGATGTCTTAGATAATAATCCCTTTGTTAAATATACACTTTCTAATTATTTTCTCCTAGGCTATACAGCTTGTCTATTCATTTTCTGCTTCATCTTTTCCAATGGGTAGATTTTAAAGTTTTGAGGAGGTCAACTGATCAGTGTTTGGAGCCAACTCCCCCTGGATCTGGAATTTCCCCACATCTTCATGCTATAGTTCTGAAAGCTCTGAGGGGAGTCTAATGAATAGCCGGGATTTAGAGCTACTGTCCTGGGCTGGGGATGTGGCTCAGTGGTAGGGTTCTTGCCTTCCTTGCACAAGGCCCTGGGTGTTAACCCCAGCATCACGAAAACAAACCACAGAGCTACCGTCCTAGCAGTGCTGATGAATTATGTTCCCTTTACCTGAGTCCAATCAAGGTCTAACACTTACTGGTGCTGAAGGTGAATTTGGCTTGAGGAGCCCCAGACCACAGTGTGTTTGTCAAGCATGTTCTTCTAGAAGCAACAGGTCCAAGGCCTGCGGAGGCAGAAATGCCCCGAGAAATTGTGCTCATGTGTCGAGCAACCTGGAAAGGAAATACTTTATATTAGGAAGGGTAACTGCAGGCTGGCCCTGCTGAAGGGGCATTGTGCCGATGGTGGCCCCGGCTGTCCTTGTCCCTGTGAACCAAATACCAGACCCAATAGTTCCAAGAGCACGGATTGAGTCTCCATGTTCTTAACATTCTCTTCCACTTCTTTCTTTTTTTTTTTTTTTTTTTTTTTTTTTTTTGGTTTTTCTCCGGTACCGGGAACCGAACTCACGACCTTGCGCTTGCCAGGCAGGCGCTTTTGCCGCTGAGCTAAATCCCCAGCCCCCATCTTCCACTTCTTTCTCTTGCAGGACTGCAAAACAGAGGAACTGTAAAACAACTGTAAAACTCATGAACCAAAAACTCCATGCTCTAATAGAAACACCGAGCGTTAAAAAGTCAGGGAGCCTTTGTCAGGCCCTGCGTGTTTAAACTCTTTCCCTGCATTATCTGCTGCGGGCATTCTATCATGTCAAGGTTTTCCTCAGAAAGACAAGGCCTTCCAACCCAACAGATAAGCAAACAAGTAGAGCAAAGTTCAGCCTCTGGAAAAGTTCGGACAGGGCGCGAGAGAAACGCATGCTCAACTTGTATGTCCAGCATGACACAGGAAGGAGAAAGGGCCTGCACTGACATTTCGATCAGAAAGGAGGGAAGCGTGGGTAACTGCGGAGAAGGGCGAGGGGGTGGGAGCAGAACGCGGCTTTGGTTACTGTAGCACTTTGTTTCCACCCAGCGCTTCAGAAGGTGCCTACAGCAACGCCATGATGCAGACAGGCACCACTTAACATCCAGAAGGAAGGAGAGCAAATCGAGGTGCGGAAAGCCCGAGTCACTTGCCCAAGGTCAGAGTCGGTGACAAAGTGGGACCAGGACGCCTCCTTCCAGCGCCAGGGCCGGGACCTGGGTGCAGATGGGGCCGGGGACCGCAACTCGGGCAGCAGGGGGCTCGGGGTGGACCTGGGGCAGGGACGTGGGGGGGAGGTCACGGCGCAGGCGCAGGAGCCTTCCTAAAGGAGGAGGCCGCTCGATCTGTTAGCCGATGACACCCTCCGCGAGGGCGAGTGGGGACCAGGGGAGCACGATCCTCTCTGGGAAGCAGATCGGAAGCCATCGCAGTGTCTCCGCGCCCGTCACCACCAGCAGCCACTCACCGAGCCCCGGAGCAACCTTGCTGCCGCAGCCGCCATCTTCAGTGCACGCGGAGCCGCCGGGGGCGGAGCCTACGACGAGGGGCGGGGTCTCGGGGTGGGCGGGGCCGGGAGGAGCCCGAGGGGACGTCCTTGTGTCCGTCTTGGAACTGCTGAACGCTTGTGTTCCTGGTTGTCGCCCTAACTTAAGAAAAGCTAAGCCAGGCGAGGATGTGGATATTTATTTCCACATTTCGTACGAAATTTTTGTTGTTAAATTCGCCTTGTGTGGATTATTGCTTCTATTTTGTCTATGAAAGGTCCGTTTCCTATTCAGGCTTCAGGAAGAGCCTTTTGGCTTCTGCCTGTTCAAAAGTTGAACTAATCCCCTCCCGCTACTGAGGATTGAACCCAGGACCTTCACACTGAGCTACATTCCCATCCCTTTATTTATTTATTTTTATTTTGAGACAGGCTCTCTCTGAACCGCTAACTTGCCCAGACCGGGCTCGAATTTGTAATCCTCCTGCCTCAGCCTCCCAGAGTGCTGGGATTACACGTCCATTAATAAGCAAAGGGGTTCAGATATAGCAAAGGCTTGTTTGTCTGAAAGCCTTTGGAATTGTGTGTGTGTGTGCTTTCGTTTCGGCCACTCTTCCCAAAATTAGAGGATTACAGACATTAAAAATTTTTTTGTCTATAAAAAGGTGCTCAGTGGTGAACACAGTACTCTGAAGCAGTACATCAATCATAAATGAAAACCCCTCAGTAGCTTCACAGTAAATGTGACAAATTGCAGTCTCTAAGTCTGTGCTTTCAAACATCCATCATTGCACTGCAAATTTAGTTTCTCAAATCTGCACATCATCTGTGTATTACTATTTACTTTAAACTAATTCAGTTTTAAAAATTTAAATAACCCAGGAGAGGTGGCAAAATACAAAATCAAAGGGACTAGAGGTGTAGCTTTGTGGTAGAACACCCCTTGGTTCAATCCCTAATAATACACACACGCATACACACATACACACACACACAAAGCAAATGAATTTATTTAAAGGAAAATGTTAAATTACTTAAATGGAAAAGCCTTACACAACTCATTACAAATAGAAGGTAATTTATTTATTTATTTTGTCTTTTTGAGACAGGATTTCACTATGCAGTTCAGGCTGGCCTTGAGCTCACTTATGTAGCCCAGGCTGGTCTTGAACTCGCAATGATCCTCTTGCCTCAGCCTCCCAAGTGCTGGGATTACAGGCGTGGGCCACCACGTCCGGCTACATAGAAGGTAATTTAAAATAAATGTATTACACTAAAATGTCATAAAATTCCAGGTAGATACAATTGTCTGCTGAAAGTCTGAAGTTTTTGTTAAAAAGGGAGCACGAGAGGGGTGGTCAGAGACCTGGTACCCCCACATAAACCCAGCCTGTTGATATAGTCAGGACAGAAGAGAATTAAAAAGACAATAACCTTCTCATGGGCTGAGGTGTTTAGCTCAGTGGTAGATCACTTACCTTGCATGCACAAGGCCCTGGGTTTGATCCCTAGTGTGCACGCAGATAAACACACACGCACACACACACACAGACACAGAACAAAAACAACAAAAAAATAAAGCCACACCTCTCTCACACAGAGATTTGGTGTTATTTATTTTCATTCTCCGTTCCCACTGCAGTTTATTCCCCAAATCTGTCTCAGGTACCACCAAGCGCTACCCCAGGAACCTGTACCCTGCTTTGGAAAGCACTGCCTTAGGCAAAAGGAAACATGTTTCCAGCCATTTTGCTTCAGCACCTGCCTTGTGCTTACTTGGTGCATCTATGTATATGTTGAGCAGATGGTTAAAAATGAAAGGGGACCGTGCAGTTGGAGCTCAAAATCATGCCTATAATAGAATATTACACAGCCACAAAAAGAAATGAAATAATGATAAATACTAGAACTGAATGACCTTGAAAACATCTGTAAA